TCAATGGATTGGGGCTTTTACTGTGTACAATGGATGCCAATATGAACGTCCTTGATGCCCATATGTATAGATACATCAGAATCGTGTATCTATCCTTAGATTTTCAGAACACAAGAATTAGTAGACATCTGACAACTCGAACTGTTCATTTTTTTTTTATATTTAGTGTATTTAGTCGAGTACAATGTACAAAGAGGAAGAAATTAGAAAACACATAGAAGGCGGATTTTTTTGTCTTGTGATGACTCATGCTACCATTTTTGGAGTTCTGATTGATCAAGAGATAGCGAATATTCGGGAAATACGATTTCAAATTTTAGGGGATCTCGATAATTTATTTAATTGGGCCTATATTAGGCCTAATTATCCACCGTTCACGTGCGGGGTCAATCGCGGACGTTCTGAATTTTCCAAAGCCAAATTTCTAAAAAAAAAAACACGCACGCAGCCGATGGTAAATATCGTTATATACTACCGATGTGAAATATTTACATATATATATACGTACCTCGATACACGACACATACAGATACACACGTACATATAATAACACTACATATTATATATATATACATATTCTACAATCATGTCAGTTGTCGGCTTTGATGTAGGTAACCTAAATTCGACCATCTCCGCTGCGCGCGCGGGTGGTATTGAGGTGCTTGCCAATGAGTACACGTACCGTATGACCCCCACAATCGTCTCATTTGGCCAAAAGATGCGATTCATGGGTGAAGCAGCACGTCCTCAGCTTACAACCAACTTCAAGAACACCGTATCACAAGTCAAGAGACTTATTGGTATGCTTTACGATGACGAAGATGTACAGACAGAGCTGGCTAATGTGCCATACAAACACAGCAGACGCGAGGATGGTATGTTAAGACTGACGAGTTAATTGTATGGCCATATATGTCGGGTATACAGAATTTTTTATACGCTCTATGCACCCGTGGATATTTTTCAAGTGCATTCGTGTGCAATTGAATATATTTTTATACATTTATATATATATATATAATGTGTGTGTATGCATGCATGCATGCGTATACATACATTTTTATATGTATATATATATATATATATATATATTTGCATTTTTATGTGTATATCATAACGCTTATATAGTGCATGCCTGTAAATAGTTTCTTTATGTGTATTTCTTCATTTAAAACCTTTGCACGTATACACTTTTGTATCGTTCATACATTTATCATTTTGTGTTGTTTGTATTCTGTTTGGGAGAGGTGTGAGCCCATGGGGTGTATACATGTGTGTGGCACCATCTCTTTCAAGTCTCTTTTTCTCTGCAAGTCTGAATACCTTTTTTGGACACGCGCTGTGACTTCTCCTGTCAATCAACTCCAATTTTCTTAGAGGCCATAGATATATTAGCCTTCCACAAGCGAAGAGTGTACGCTATGTTTGTGTGTATTGTAGTTCGTCCTTCACTGAGTAAACGTTTTAAGTTACATGTGCATATATGTATGTTTATGTCTATGCTTAAAAATACGAAGTCTTATTTCAGTACCGAGTGGCGTACGAAAGCACTGTTGCAGCATCAACAATCTTGCAACCTCTCTACCTGTGATAACATCATCAAGCATATTTCGTTTCCTGATATTAGTAGTGGCGTACAGCCAGCACATCGTTACGGTAGACAGTAATTTGAATTTGTGGTCGAACACATATAGTTGGGATTTACCACTTCGCAAGTGTTCAGATATTTTGGGTAGAATGCCAATACACCACACCCAAAAAAACACCAGCATACGTTAAAAATTTTCCGGTTCAAACCTGTAAACTCAAACCCAAATGTTGCACGCACCCCATTTCGTTTGCCCATGTGAACAGGTCGCATCAACCTCACCGTCATCTTCAAGGGCGAGGAGCGCAACTTCACACCAGAGCAAGTATACGCCATGTTCTTGACACAACTCAAACAGACTGCGGAGCGTGAGCTTAAGAAGCCTGTGGTGGATATCGTCGTGTCCTGCCCCAACTGGTTCAACAACTTCCAACGCGAGGCCATTCTGCACGCTACCAACTACGCCGGACTTAACTGTGTGCGTGTGCTTAACGACACAACCGCCACCGCCCTGGCGTATGGTATTTACAAACAGGTATGTGTGCGCTTTTATATATACATATATTATTTGATTTATGGTTTAGGATTTGCATGGTTCACTTTATATATTCAAACAGTTTCAATTTGGATGCCGCCATCATTGCACCTGTCGATTCGCTCGCCTGTGCTTCTAGAAAATGCTGAATGTGGCGCACCCCATTGTATAGAAGACAGCTACCAGGATCGATATGTGTATCTCTTTCGCTATGTTATCATTGTGTGTGCACTGTGTCTGGATGCATACAGCTGCATAGTATAGTTACTAGTAAGAGATTAGTTGAAAGAACCGTAGCAGATGGTATATGCTACCATGAGTTTATCACAAAATTGCTACATACTACATATTCTATTTCAACCCCCACACCCAGCTTCTATGCAAGTGTGAACAAATTACGAATTTTACATGCCTACCCCTGTTATATTCTTTTGGCCTACGATGTCCCGAATCTGATCTCGTATTTACCCCTTGGTTACTTCTGATAGGATCTGGATGAGGAGAAGCCGCGCCACGTGGTGTTTGTAGACATGGGTCACTCATCGCTGCAGGTGGCTGTGTGCACGTTCCTCAAGGGAAAGTTCTCAGTACTAGCCACAGGCGCTGATACCAAGCTCGGAGGACGCGACTTTGATCAACTCATATATGAAAAGTTCCGTCTCGAGTTCTTAGCCAAGTCCAAGATCGACCTGAACGAGAAGCCCCGCGGCAAGGCCCGGCTTATGGGCGAGTGTGAGAAGGTGAAGAAGCTCATGAGCGCCAATCAGCAGCCTATCCCCATCAACGTGGAGTGTGTGACGGACGATGCCGATTTCCACTCCAAGATGTCTCGTGAGGAGTTCTATGAGATGGCCAAGCCACTGTTCGACCGCGTGCAGGGCCCTATTGAACAGGCGCTGATGGACTCGAAGCTGTCTCTGCAGGAGATCCACTCTGGTAGGCACAGTGTGCCGCCTGCTTTGTATGAACCAAGAGAGTCTGTGGGTTGGTAGGAATAGATGGATCAACGGATAGTGTTTTGGTTTTTGTGTCTGTTACCCGGGGCGGTATAACTTGTGGCGTACTTCAGTATGAATGGGGATGGACGTGGGGCCATGTATTGATGTGCACACACTATGTACAACACAGTGATTCTATTGTTATTTGTTAACAGTACGCGTGATGTAGTTCTGCTACGCGCCTTTAACATGTCGGAAAGATCTGGGTCTGTGTGTATCTGTGGGGAGGGGGACATATAAGGAACATCAGTAGTTTGCCCTATCCATTCTCATAGTGTTAGCCGCCGGCCCACTTTTTCCACTCACATACCTACATTTCTCACCCCAATTCCTAATTCACCCGAATCCCCCATGTCATGTGCAGTTGAGATTATCGGTGGATCCACTCGTATCCCCAAGATCAAGGAGATCATCTCTGGCATTTTCGGTGAGAACCGCATGCTCACCACGCTCAACGCCGACGAGAGTACGTCCCGTGGGTGCGCTCTCATGGCCGCTATCCTGTCGCCAACCTTCCGCGTGCGCGAGTTTTCGGTCACCGACTCCACGCCTTACCCCATCGACCTCAAGTGGAAGATCAATGATGAACCCAGTACGGCGGTAGTTTTCGAGCGCCACAACCCCATCCCCAGCACAAAGATGCTCAAGTTCAAGCGTTCAGAGCCCTTCGAGCTGGCTGCATACTACAATGACCCCTTGAACGTACCAGGTATGCAGCTGATGTGTGTTGGTAGTCCCGCGTGTGTCCAAGTCGGTATCTGCTTGTGTCCTATAGGTTTTTGATATGATTATTAATGAGAGTGTCACGTGTTATCGAAGTTCTCTGTACGGTTGCGCAGGTACGAGTGGTATGCCGGGCAGCTGCGACGATTAGTTAGTTCTTACTGGCAATCGGACCATTGTAGTTGCTATAAAATAGTACTTTTTGTGCTGCTGTTCGTGTTCGATACTTCACTATACTGTGCTTGCTTCCAGTTTTAATTTAATTGCATATGACTGAACTTCAGCTTTGTATTCAAATATACGGAGTGACTGAGTGTGTCTGTTATAATTCTTTTTGCCATTGCGCGTAGTATAATTAATTCAGTGTAGCAGTGATTCTGTCGAATATGATTTCTGTAAACTATCACTGTATATGGGGTTCACCCAACATTCGTACTAACCAATACGGTTTGTCTTGATACACACGCATGGATCATAGATGAGCTATCAAACACGGGTAATTTTAATTCTATGTTCAATTGCCCAGAGTTCCCAAGCAAATACTGATACATATACACGACTCATCAAACACAGGAGAACGCAAGTTCATCGGACGTTACCGTGTCGACGATGTCAAACCCGACAGTGAGGGTAACCCCATCCAGGCGAAGGTGCGTGTGCGTTGCAACAAGAACGGTATGTTCTCTGTCGAGAGCGCCCACTGGGTCGAAGAGATCCTAGTCCCGGAGGAGCCAGTAGCACCCGCTACACCGGAGCCTATGGCCGAGGATGGTATGCGGATTTTAACTTATTTTGTATGTATATGTGACTTTCCTCGTTAATGATCTGAGCGTAAGAACACTCGAGTCATTGTATACATATAAGTAATGTATACGTGCGTATGGGGATCTCCCACATTTATGTGTGGATCCTACTTGATGTCAACTATTAGCTATTGAATACATGTTCTATGTTTAAATACGGCACATATCCCTATCCGATGCGAATGTAAATATATAAGTAATGTATACGTGCGTATGGGGATCTCCCACATTTAGTGAATCCTACTTGATGTCAACTATTAGCTATTGGATACAATGTTCTATGTTTAAATACGGCACATATCCCTATCCGATGCGCGTATTATCGTTTCGGCTGCGCTCCAGCACCACTACTACTATGGAAGCACAATGAATGGCTATCTATATACTTACCTTTAATAATACTCCACCCACACTACAGGTAAGGAGGGCGATGAGGAGAAGGCCGCGGATACACCCGCCGAGCCTACTGAACCCGCCGAGCCCAAGTTCAAGAAGGTGCAGCAAACACACGCACTCAAGGTGGTAGCCTTGGATACTGCGTCCAAAGAGGAATTGAGCAAGAACCTCGAGGTTGAGATGGAGTTGACCATGAGCGACAAGCAGGAGCGTCAGGTATGGGTGTCTATTGTGTGCACGCCAATTTTATATATATATATATATATATATATGCAAATTTGTGTGTGTGTGTGTGTGTTCTGTACTTATCTCAAGATGTATGGGTGGATAAGTAGAGGAGTTGCAGTGGGAATGGGGTATTTATATGTAGATGCTCTCTATCTTTTATGTTTGTACTTGCTGTCTGTGCCGTTTAACATGTGATTGAATCGAGATGTACCCTCTGCACCAGAGTGAGGAGGCTTGAATTGTTCACGATACGATATGGAGATGTAGTTTTTATCACCCAATGTTTTGTGAAGGGGGGTTGTTGTTGTTGTTTGAATTACCAACGGTGTGGTGGTGCGGGGATCGAGTTTTTATCACCCGACGATTGATTGTTGTGTGAATCTATTATTATTTTTCTGCGTAAGTAAATGAGTGAACACGTACGCGACATAGCTACTCGAAAAGATTAGTGTTCACAGACACGCTATAACATACATAAGCACGTACGATAGTAACACACATACATATACATGTTTAACTATCTCTCACCTGCCGTATCGTCCCACAAACGCACCCTCAGCGCGTGGACTCCAAGAACGCCCTAGAGGAGTTCGTATACGAAGTGCGCGAGAAGATGGACACCGTCTTCAGCAAAAATATCGAGGACGATCGCAAAGAGCGTGTCTCAGCCGAGTTAATGGCCATTGAAGACTGGCTGTACGATGAAGGTGACGACGTACAGCGATCGGAATATGTGACGCGTATGGAGAAGCTAGAGGCCGAGATAGCGCCCGTCAAGTCGCGTGCCAGGGACTGGGAGAACCTGCCCGCGGCGGAGGAGGCGATCCGCCGTAGCATTGTACAATACCGCAAGGTCGTGGATCAATACCCTAAGTATGTATATGTGGATTTTGTATATATGGTGTATGTATCTATATCTACATCTTTTTCTATACGTATTGTTTTATACATTTGTGTGTAGATGGCCGTAGTGAATGTGTACAGCTGTAAGCGTACTTATCAGTGTATGGGGTGTAAAACAACTTATCATTGCTTGCTGTCCGGATGCACACGCTATCCGTACAAAAGTATCATCATAGGTGTTAATAAACTACCTACTCGAATATCCTTCTCCACAACCCTAAACCTAACAGTGATGAGAAGTACAATCATATTGCGGCTGAGAAGATCCAGGCCATCAAGGAGGTGATTGATGAGAAGGACTCGTGGTTCAACACAAACATCGCCGCCAACAAAGGACTTACGCCCAAGCAAGACCCTGTGGTCACCCCTGCCCAGGTGACTGAGGCGCGGATGGTAAGTAGTGTCTCAGACTTACTCTGCTTAAGTAACAATGTCTTATATATACGTCTGATGTCGTAGATCTCTCTCTTTGTGTGTATTTTACGTGCATACGTCGCACGGCAGATATAATATATACACATCGTATATTTGACAACGCGTCACCTCTATAGGTGGCACAGCAGATATATTTATATGCGTATTTTGTGGACATTCCATTGTTACACATGTGTGATTAACATCATGTTTCTACTGCAATATGTGTATATATATAGTTTGTAGTAACGACCTGACCCGTGTCCACAACCGCATCTGGACCATTCGCAAATGTAGGGTCGATATTTAAGGGCTACAATATGTATATATATATAGTTTGTAGATTTTATATTTTTTACAAACCCAAATCCCCGTCCCTTTGTATACCTGAGATGAAAAATAATATTGATTATTCACATTGCTGTTAACGATCTCTTTTATACAACTAGGCTATTGAGAAGGTTAGTATCCCAATCCTAAAGACCCCTAAGCCTAAGGCCCCCACTCCCGAGCCCACGGCTGTGCCGGAACCTGCTGCAGCTCCCGAGGCAGAGGTAGGTATCCATTTATTAGTGTTCCCATACCAAATCTCATATACGTATGTGTGCGTTTTCTATTCGTTCTCTATTTGTAGTCGGTTCATATTTCCAGCGATGTAAGGTGTTTAGGATAAGCATAGCTTGTACATGTACTGTACTGTGTTTCACATTCAAGCGATAGGTCAAGATATCTGCAGAGCTCGGGTTACAACTTGAATACAACTCACAGTCGCTTGCACACAATTTGACGTCTAACGTACACATGGACATTGCCACCGCTTTTGTCCCTAAACCTCAAACCCCTCAACTCTTATCACAGAAGAAGGACGAGGCCGTTCCCGATGCGACACCCACAGAATCTGAAAACATGGAAGTGGATTAAACTACGCATCGATAACCCTTAGAACTGCAAGCTTTGCTTTGCTGCCCCTCTACTTACCTTTAGTCTATCGTCTGCTCTCACGAGTTGTGAGTTGTGTGCACGAATAAAATCATACCAAATTATACCGCTTTCAGTTTGCTGTTCATGTGTTATCTGTCGCATAATGTGGAGGTGCATACGACACTATTCACTGTTGAGCTAACTATTTCCTAATTCTTCCAATATCCATTTTAGAATCTGTTCACCCCTAAAATCTCAGAGATAGTGCGCTACGGGTAGGTAGCGTGCAAGATTATAAATACACCCTCTAACCTCACAGAGGGAATCTCCCCCTTTGAGGACTCCGTCACTCTCGAAGGAAGAGCGTGTAGGGGGTGTCTTCTGAGAAATTCGCTGCGTACTATTCTCGTAGATTAATCAGTGCACATACCCGATTAAACCTATATGATGATGACACAAACGAGGAGTGTGCTGTGTGTATAGGGCGAGATGGCCAGTTGACAACCTACAGAAAACAAATGTTAAATACTGACATGACCCTCTAGAGAATAAAGAAAATACACCTGAACGGACTATGTCTGTAAATACTTACCAATGGCTTTTAAATAAGAGATATTTTATCATACTGACCAATGGCTTTTAAATAAGAGATATCTTATCAAGAGAGTGATCATGTGGTAGATCCCCCTTCGAGATAATCCCTCGAAGAGGCTGTAAATACCTTTAATAGATCCATCGGTAAAACTAAATGTTTATTAAAAAATACAAGTGGACAGAGGAATACCGAATACTAGACTAAAAATTTCACTGCTCTTTACAAAACAAAATGGCTTCGAAATAATAGTATTTTTAAAAGACCATATTACACCAAATTTCGTCGCGTATGAGCCGATTGCAACAAGGGTCTATATCCAGCATTCGATTGGATGGGGTATTCATTGGCACCAATCAAAAGGAGAGAAATACAAGTACTTCGGTACCTTTAAGTAGGTGGTGCGACAACTAGAACGATAGCCAGTTTAGCCACAGGGGTTTCCGTTGTCTGGCTTCATTGGCTTCATATTAGCTTCATATTGGCTTCGCATTGACTCCATGTTGGCTTTGAATTGGCTTCAATTTTGAATCCATTTTTTGACATCACTTTTGGCTTCACGCTGGCTTCACTTTGGCTTTGGCGTGGCTTTATGTTGGCTTTGACATGGTTTCATATTGGTTCATTTTTAGTGTGATTGATTATATATAATATATACACTGTTTGTTAAGTATACACGTACTCATATTCGTTAGTTCGGTGTTATTCATAATACTAGTTAGCTGTAGTCTATAATGCCTGGTCCTGGAGGGCGATGTTGTGCACGAGGATGTGGCTTGGTAGCGGTCAAGGGGAAGGACAGCTAGGTCACATTGGTCACATTGCATCGCTATAAGCCAGATTGGGATCAAGCTCTAGCAGGGCGTACAAGGCGATATGCGGCGATGAGAGTATGCAGCAATCATTTCGGTGAAGACCAGTGGGTTATACATACGAATAGGAGACGTCCTCGACAGGGCTGAGTACCAATCTTAAACCTACCAGAACCAATTGAGATGCCGCGAGCTGTAGACCAATCGATGGCAGCCACTGATCAGATAGTAAGTGCAAGTGGATCTCTGTCTAAAGACGTAGATGAAAATCCAAAAACAAAATCGATCGATACAGGCGTGATAGCTTCTAGGAGCCTGGAGACAATATCATCAGTATCCAAAGTACGTGGTTCCAGATCAACAAAAGATCGACTCAGAACCAAGCAACTAACACAAAAACAAATAGTGAGAAAGAAAACACTAGTGCTATCGCACCAATAGTTGAAGCCACGGACAAAGGTTGCAAGAGATCTGAACAAGTATTAGAGAATATAGAGCCTGCTGCATCAACAAGTACCAAACTCAAAGAAACCCCTACTACTTCAGCTGACACCGACATCACTACATTGGCAAAATTTGGCACAAAAGGCAAAGGGTGAGCACAAGGTGACATAAATATAGCGGCTTTATTCGGACTCTGAGTATTCGGCGGCCGTATAATATTTGCCCATAAAGGTTACCGTACGTTGCGTGATATAGCATCCTACTACCTCGAAAATAAATCAACTAGTGGAGGAGGTAGTGATGGTTGGATACCAAAATGTTAGTGATTATACAACTGATATAGTATTCTGTAGAATGGTATAGTTCTCTGGAAGTACATCACCTGCTATACAAACTGTAAACCTCGTATGCAAGAGTGAAGGAAAGTTTGATTTATGATATAGAACGCCACTACCTGCACGAAAAGCAAGCACCAGAATTAAAGGTGTAGCATCGCAAAAAAATGATCGTGCACATACGTTGCAATAGAATATTGACTACATGGCGTGACAATGAAGAGAAAGACAACTGCATAAATGGAACTAGTATAGTTGCAACCTTAAATTGGCAATGGAGGAAAATATCTTGGATTTAGTGTATTGGATAGGGCTGAGAAATCAATCTCAAGCAAGGTGGCTGACTGGCAAAAGAACTTGCCAAAAGACGAGGCAATACTGAACCATGTGGAACAAATGCAAATATCAACGCATAAGGGCGCCAAGCAAGCAGAATCTATACAAGGAAATGATACAGCTGAAACGACTAAGCGACCAGTAAGTGATCGTATTGCAACTTCGGATGACATAGACGGGTCGGTAAAGAAGCTCAGATTTTTAGAATAACATGCACTAGTCGTAAAATAAATTACATTCAGACATCCATGTGTATCCATGTGTATCATGAGATCTTTTATTTTACTACTATAATTCTATGTATTTTGTAGGATCCTGTGCAAACTGTGCACACACCTTCTTATGGCTTGCGATACTTTCGAACACTCAGGTTGCACCACACAATTCTACAGTACACTGTTTTTGTTTATGCGCCGATTTTTGTTTTTTCTTAGGTGTATGTGGCAGTGAATTTAGAAGTATCTGCCTGTTTAGTGTTGGCGTCTACACTATCTTATAAAGGTGCAAAGCTACGTGGTGTTGATGTGGGCTCGGGAAGCGCTATCGCTTCAGGGGCTATCTAATTTATAGGCTGGGGGAAAGCCGGGCGTACTATTGCAGGATGTCGAATCGTGTAATCAGCCGTCTTGTCCATTGCTGCGTCCGCACCGGTCTCTGGCTCGTTTAGTTTATTAATCCAGGTAAACGACTCACTGTCAGCAGCAAACAGCGAACACCTTTTGGCATGATGGGCAATAGACACGAAATACTCCGAACACAACTTGCATCTCTTGTATTCCGGATTTTCTCGCAGCTTTTTGGGCACAGACATGTGCCCTTTCTCTCTCTCTCGACATCCTCTGCAGACTTGTTGACCCACCTGTACTGTGAATCATCTTCTTGAGATTTCTGCTTGCAGTATTCCTTTTTAACGTTTTCTAAAGTTGTAACGTATCGAGCTCCCCAATCCTTTCCTACATCTGGCAACAAGCGCGTTAGAGCCATATCGGCTGATACTTTGTTTGCCGCGTATACACCCTGCATGTACCAATCACAACGCTGTTGCACCGCTTTCTCACTAAGACGCAAACTGTCATCCTTGTTTCGAGACTTCTTTTTACAATAGCGAGGGTTCAATTTAGTATGTAATGCAGAATCTACCCCGATACGTATTAGTGCAGGAGCTGGAGGAATAAGATCACTTGCTTCTATTAATGCTAATCGAGCACGTTCAGCGTGTACATCTTGTACGACACTAGTGCCTGACACAAACTCTTGTATTGTTTTTACGAAAACATCTCCTTACTGGGTACCTGTGCGATCGCTATAGGCATGCACTGTACCTTTATCTGGTGCCGGTTGACTTTCGGAAGTGTTTTCAATATCATTGTGATACTCCGTGTCGAATCTCTGAAGGATATAATAGTCGTGAAAGCTAGCTGTGTATGGCAACTTGACCGGCATTATTTCCGTCTGCGTGTAAGATGTCAATCCGTCATCATCGAAAACAACATCGTGGATCTCTGATGTGCCATGTCTTAGTATTTTCTTGGCCGCTGCATCCTGTGAATACTTACAAACTTATACTAGGTGAACACTTCTGAATTACGTAAATAAAGCATTCATGATATTGAAGCTAGAATATAGTGGGGAAATTGGCTTACCTCTTTAGCAGTGCTGTTATCAAGACAGCTATCCCTAGACACTTTGACAAGGCCACCGCGCTATTCTTTATACATTTCGTGCCCTTCTGTGACACGTCGTCCCAACAGCATAGTGCTTTGTATATATCTAGTGGCCGAGTTATGTTTTTCATGGAATTAATACAGTTGGTGATATATCTCGCGACAAAAGAAAAATGTGCATCAAGCATCGATTTCCGCGCTAAGCTTCGGTGAACAGCCGGCGTAAGATACATAGATCCTTGCCCATACTCTCCAGCTTCCGGTTGATTTAGAAAGCGTTCAAGAAATTATCTTTGGCCGAAAATGCCGGCGCATTATCGCTCAACAATACAACTTTCCTTTTTGGTCGGATAGTTGTCGTTCAATGTGTCTCATGAGCGATCGCAGTGTTGTTTGTACACTATCACAACGGCGATTTGGTTGTGGTTTTGCATAACCATATCGAGACATCTTGTTTTTATTCGATCACCACACTTATCTCTATACATTATGGCTGCTCCCAACAGGCTGTGACCTCGCTTACCATAATATTTGATCATATCTTCTAAGTACCGCTGAGACAGAATTTTCTGTTTATGGTCAATTATGATTTATAGTGATTCCTCATCCAATCCCGCCCGTATTCACTCGATGTGCAAAATCTTGCCAACCTCCACGTGCGGTATGGTTTTGGAACATAAAAATATCTTTGTCTATTATCTTCAACACCGGCAAAATGGATGCCAGCTCGGAATAGTCCATGTCGTGACCTAGATCAGCTGCATCATCTAGAAAGGGAAGAGGTGGGCTTTCATATAGAAATTTAACGAATAGTTGCTTCTCGCTGCTATTATTCAACCCAGGCATACTGGATAGAAAAGGCCTAAAGGTACCCGCTTCTAGCTGCATAGCTTGTTCATCAGAAACCAGTCTATGTGCTTTTCGTCTGAGGGTCTCTCTTACGGAAACTTTCATTTGAGGCACCATTGTTCAATTCTCACACAATCTGGATAGCGGAAAGCATGGTCTTCACGGGTACACTTCGAAACGCCCACGGTACACTCGGGACAATGGAAATAATCTCCATCACATTCGCTAGCATCGTAGTTGCAATGTCTAGCATGATCACGTTTAAGAAGGCTATCTAGTTGTTTTACTTCGTTGTTATACGCTCCATATGCTTTAATAGCAAACGTCGAAAGAAATTCCATCTGTTGTATGAACATGGTATAATAGTAGGATAGACTCGCCTGCTGCTGTGCTGGTTTTGTCAGCATTGTCAACATCTGGTAAAGAAGATACGTCCGATTTGTTTATACGTACCATCTGCTCCTTGTACTGTTCCGTTGGCGCAAATACTTACACTATTTATAGGTATTCTTTGCGGTTGGATAAGAAAACCAGCAGATAGTATACGTGCATGACTTGAGGGTGTTACGATCCCTAGGTTATTACCCCGTCCACGATTGGATCACTCGAATCGGGTCTCTTACGTTTCTTTGCTGTACTAAGATGTGCATTTGGAGTCTGCGAACCAAAATGCTGATCGTATAGTTCCCATATCACTCTCTTGCTAAATTTCCTCAACATGTACGGCATATCCGCTAGCCTACAGTCTGCAAAGGATCTACTTCGAAAACAACCTGCTATGAATCTGGTAGTGGTATCGGATGTACTGAGCCAATTTATAGTATAGAGGTAGCTTGATTCATTTACTCGTACTCGATATGGGGCTTTTGGTACTGTCCCTTCACCCTCCATAATCGTAGTGTAATCGTCTTCCGCCTTGATAGCATCGTAGCTATTGAACTTGATTGTAGGCACCACTGTATTAAATTCTCTATCCGGACAATTACTATAGCGATCTGCTGCAGCGACCAACAAGTCTCGCACTTTACTCAAGCTTGATTAACGTTCATAGTCAGCATTATCACCGTGTCATCCTTCGTACATCGTACAAAAATGTCCGCAACTCTATCGATCATGGCTTCATTGGTATTAATAGTTTCCTCATTGCCTTTGTGGACAACAAGTCGGTATAAATGATCACTTGCTCGTTTGTCTCTAGATGATAATCTTATTGTACGTGCTCGGACTAGCCCACGCATATGCCCTACAAGCTCTGTTCGTCTACCCAAAAAAACCTATAGTCATGGCTTTGTATGTCATATTGTAATTCGTAGGCTGCACGCTGACATTAATTATCCTATATATGCTTCCGATGCTGTCCTTCTGGTAGTTATGTTGTTCTCCTATAATCTCTGTAATTACGGACTCCTCTTCCACCTCTGTGTAATCTACCTCACATATTTCACGTGATGCTCGTTTTTCACCTTCTATTGCTACATCAGCACCTCGGCGCTGCACTTTCTGTCTGCCTTTTCTTTTCTTATCTGCGTGTACTCCAATAACACAATAGCACATACTCTGATTACATATTGTGCCATTCTCATCTACAACACATGGACGGAGACATCATTTTCGTGCACCACAGACATCGCACTGACCACCTTTTTCTGATGATTTGGTAACGGACATGACCAAGATGGAGCGCCTAGGCTGCCATCAATTGAATCACTGCTCCTATTATCCACCATAACAGCCCATACTACAAGCTGTGTATATCTCCGCCGCCAACTGCTTGTGCAGCTACACTATTAGTTTGCGTATGCATGAAAGCGAACTTATGTATGTTGAGAATTGCGATTTATGACATGCAAAATATTGGGTTCTCAGGGAATATCTATCTACAACTAGTCTTTCAGGAACCAATAGAAATGCTTCTTGATAAAAGAATGTATTTAGCACAGCGAACATGTGGTAGTGTCCGTTGGGAGAATGTCCATAACTTCTGAACCAAATATACTATGCCTCCCGATCCAATGATGGCTGTGCTTTGTCTTACATTGTCTAGCTATTCCACCTAACTTAACATTGGTTGAAAATCCAACTGCTGAGTATAGCAACCATACGGCAGCAATCATTAAGTTCTCGATGTTTTGTTCGCGGAATAAATTTTTTTTGGTAAAATATGGTCTTAGAATACATGTAGAAAATGATGTCGCCAAACGGCATCCTGATCTCTCTCTCTCCCTTGAGGTGGGATAGATATTACTAAGACAAATAGTTGTTTGAAGTATGCATGCGTAGCGAGCCTGCGAACGTAGCTACAATTAACTAAGTGACCGCGAATGTAGCTATAGTTAACTAAGAGCCCGCGAGCGTTGTTAGAGTACAATGTAGTAGACTTTAAATAAAGTGCAAATGTATGTATTTATTTCTGACCTCACCTTTGGTTTTATACCTAAGGTGATTGTGCTAGTGTTCAGCCGCTTGGGCTGGCCAGGGTAAAACCTCATATGGGCAGTATAAGAAACCTTATGCAGAACATTTTAACACTTCGATGCTTTTCTAATTCAACTTCTCTGCAACTTAAATCTCACGCTGATCACATGATGCCTTTCCGCATAGGTTGTGACTCACATAGAACCGCAGCTATTATTAATATGTTGTGGTTGACAGACTTAACCCACTCTCGGGAATATTTTGAGAAATAAAATCTGCTCTCGGAAGTCGATTAAGTAATAACTCAACTCTTGAGAGTAATTTGAGCAACTTGATTAGCTCTCGGGAGTGAGCTAACTCTGATGACTTAGCTCT